TTATCGGTTCTGGTTCAGAACCTTCCCCACTGCCCCTGAGTGTGCTGGAGTCTGGCCAGTTGGTCATGTCTGTAGCTGTTACCACCTCTGATACCAGTTAAGGCTGGGTGGAACAGGAGTTATAACAGGGCTGGATGGTGTGAAAATGTAGAATATCCATAACGAGTGATTTCTTTATGGTGGGGGGGGGGGGGGGTTGTCAGTGATTACATTTGCTTTGAATGGAGAAGTTGCACCAAGGTAGGAAATAACCAATGTAATTAGAAAGTTAAAAAAATTAAATGGCCTCAGTGTCATAGTTGACTATTACTCCTTTTTTGCTGAAGCACCACACTGTAGTTATCTCTGTACCTTGTCATTTCTTTCACATAAAAACTTAAGCTTCTGTGCTTTCTTGTGCATAAATACTCCTTCCAGATTTCCGGTTTCCACAGAGCGTAGTTCAATCGCCTTCTCTCCCCAGCCCATGACCTGATTAGATTGAAGGTAAGCTAAAACAAACAAACAACAAAAAGAGTAAAAAGTACTGATACTGTTTAACAACTGACACACTGATTCTTGCCTCATCTATGATAACATGGATCTGAATCATTTCAGTAACAATATGCTCAGAATTACTTAAGTTTACACAAAAAGCCTTGGGAACAGGAAGTAAATTTCAGTTTGTCAGACTTATTTTGGACTCTAGGCATAACTCTTAAGTATGCTACTGTTGTATATTTTATGATCAGGAAAGTTAGGAATAAACCTCTGAAGAGCATCTTGTTTAAGCCCCACCCAGAAAGCAGGGCCAAAAGACAAGGTTACTTGGGGCTTTGCCCAGACATGTTCTGGCATGTTTCATAGGTGCTGCAATCCATCACTACTTTCAAGGTTAAAAAATTTTGCCTAACACATAATTTGCATTGTTTTGGTGCAACTTGTGCCCATTTTTATCTCATCATTTCAAGTACATGCTCAAGAAAAGTCTTGACTCAGAATTTTCTATAACTTCTCATTAGGAAGTCTGGTTTGTATTTACTATGGAGTTCAGTTTAGTCTGAAACCTAAATTCTTCTGAATCTGAGACTATGGCATGATTAATTTGGTGTCCCTAGCTACTGTCTTCCCATCACTAGTTGCGAGCAACATCTTGAAAGCCAAGATACTCCAGCACATGGAAGCTTACTATGTAACTCTTTTAAATTTGGAAATTAGATAAAAAATTGGAATAGCAATGAAGGAGTTAACACCACAGATTCCAAATTAGCCACAGTTTCAGTGAAAGCCCTCAAATTAGTGCATGGGCTTCTAGGGTAAAAACACATTAGTTATGCCCTTTTGATAGTCAATGCTCAGAAATGGTTCTTGTTCAACTGTGAACTGTCACTTACTAGTCTGAGAATTCTGGCACACTGAAGTGGTGTAATGTGTTCATTTAGCTGGCTTTTAGATTCAATGGACAGTGCTTGCCTGCCCCACATTATTAGTGTGAGCAATGTCTGTTCCTCAAAACCTTCCATTTAGGCTTTTGTCTAAGAATTGAACTTTCAGTACCCTCTGATAGAGGAAACAACAACCTAAGAAGCTTACTTTAGAACAACAGCAGAAAATAAAGTCAATATGCCTGAGTGATTGTGTATCCTTCTAGACGTTGTTGATTTAGTATTAAACTGGAACCCTAGCTTTGTAATTCTTGTCATAGCAAGTGTATGAGAATTGTACCTTCTTGGAAATGTATGATTTGGCTATAAGATTATATTTTATGTGCCTCAAAGTCTATAAATTTCCCCTAAATCTGTTTAGTATACTTTCAGTTATTAATGCCACTAGAGCTTACAGCAACAGTTTTTTTCCAGTATCTCAGTTATGTGGAAAGAGGAAGAAACCATCCTGTTTGAGAAGCAGAACAGTGAGCAACTGACGGTGAGTGGGAGACGAGAAGGGGAGGGAATATTTTCTAAAAATCTCTTTTCTTTATGCTTCAGTTCCAGGCTGTGTAACAGGACACTGCTGCTCTAGGCTGCAAGGAAGACTGTCATGAACGTTCCTGAACATAGCAGCATGACGGGCACTAGGGCAGCACCCACACTGCAGTTAGTATCTATGAAGGTAGGCCCAGACCACACAAAGTGAAAAAGATAAAAATGATACAGTTCTCCGACACTTGCTGCTTTGTGTTATAACTGACACCACATTAACCTTTTCAAACTTTGCTTCTGAACACACCAGAGGCAGGCACACTGTGGTTCTGGGGGCTGGGACAGTGAGGTAGGTGTGTATATATAAACAGCATGCAAGCATTCTGTGGCTACGCTGTGGAGTATATAGGTCATATAGGTCCAGCAACAAAGACCTAATGCACTTATTAGTCTCCTTATTTTTTCCACTGTGTGAAATCTGCACTCAAGTTGTCGATTTGCTATGTCTGTATCAGCTGTTTTCATGCCTTTGGCAGATTTGAACTTGATAGCATCCTTGCAGCTCTCAGAAACAGCTTAATTAGGCTCTGTTGCAACCTCTAGGTCACCCAAGATAGCAAGCCTAGATCCATAACTCCATTTCTCCCAGCTGTATTACAATAGGAACATAATAAAATAGATACACCAAGTTTGGCCACTGATGTTCTGCTGGCCAGCCAATATACTGAGAACTTGTCAAATGACAGTGGCACATAAAAACTCATTCCTGTGGCAGAATCAAAAGGTTTTTTCTCAAATTACATCCGTGGAATAACTTGCCAATAAAAGGCCCCATTATACCATTTGTAGGGTTGTCAGTTATGAGAATATATCTATACATGGAAATTAATTTGGAGGACAGCAGGCTGTGAATTCAAAGGTCAGTACTGAGTCTTGGTAATTTTCCCATGTGGGAGCACTTATGAGTGTTTCACGTAAAATGAAAGCAGATTACATACTCAGAATAAAGTTGGCTTATTCTGGAACAAAAGTTCCTATTCTATGAGCAATTTAAGAAGTACGTATTTTGAGTCCATTTTCCACCTCAACAAGCTTTAGTTAAAAACATCCTGTGCTTCCAGCTGGCAACATATAAGGGTGTTTATATTACATGAATACAAGATTGTACTGGTTTCCAGCAACCCTAGACTTTAGACAGCTACTCTGGTCATTTGGACAGTAGCTCAGCAGGAAAGGCATATACTGACTCAGATGGATTTGCCAATACTGCTTAATATAGTGGAACAAAGTTACTCAAGAGTTATTTGAAGCTCCCCTGCTTCACGCAGATTACTCCATATCTTAAAAGACCTACACTTGTGCATGAGCTGTAGTTTGTGTTACACCAGCATTACTCCTTGAACATCAAAGAACATATGCCATAAAGTTAGTATAGCAAAGTGAGCTCAAAATTAGTTTCTTAACATTGTGAAAGCATTAGTAACACTCCGAACTTGGAGTGAGACTTGGCATTTCCTGTTTATGCTGTGTATTAACATTGAGTAGAGTCTACATACAAGGAAGTTGCTGCTTCAAGGGGAAATGGCTGAGGGAGATAGGAAAGGTGAAAGAAATTACTGAGCCATACTGGATCCATTAACTTCTATGAAGTGTCACTGACATGACCTAAGGATCTTGGTCTTGCAACAGAAGCCTGAATAAGGCAAGTGCACTTGGTACCACAGAACATGGGTACTACTACAGTATCACTTCTCTTCCTTACCTTTTCTTTTTTAAACTGTTTCCCTTCAAAAGTCCCTTTTCTGATCTCATGCTAAATTCAGCTCACTGCCCTAAGTAGTTATTCCCAATTGACTGATCTCTGCATGAGAGCAGAATCAGGCCAGCTTTTAGCAAAATCTCATAAAATTGGGGATTTCCTGATTAGTGTTACAGAAATAGGGCAGGAAAGGACCATAATACACCTTCTCTGCCATCTGTGCCATATCGGCATCACTTCTTACAGTTCTTTCTCTAACCTGACCTTAAAGACCTTTAGTGGAGTCTTGGGTGACATGGTTTGGTGTGGGGTGTCCCTGCCCGTGAGAGAGGGGTTGGAACTGGATGATCTTGAGGTCCTTTCCAACCCTAACTATTCTATGATTTTATGATGGAGACTCCAGAAATTCCCCAGGCAACTGATTGCAGATAAGCCAAGAAGTTCAGAATGAAAAAACATAACATGAATTGAAAGATCCTGACCCAGTTCTGCATGTCCAAGTTGTTCTTTGATACCATGCTCCATTTCACAGGGTAAGAGTGCATGCTGCTTTACTGAATCCTTTTTTGGAGAGTCAGAATGCACACAGGTGAAATTCAATGCAAAAAAAGCTACTGGATTATGCTTTTGTATACCTGTATAAAAAAATTGCTTTGGGCAGGTATGCAGGTGGGCATGAACGTCCCAAGGAGAGTATCCAGTGGTGACTTTGCTGACAGTAAAACACACATCTTAAAATTAAGAGTGCACACTTATACAGAGCCCCTCCTTTGGCTCTTCAGTCAAAACCAGTATGCTCTATGAAATCGTGACTTATTGTTTCCCTGCTTTATGGAAAAGAGACATAAATGTTGAGGACTAGGAATGGAAATAACTTGCAGAGATACCAACCATGTCCTGGGATATAGCAAAGCTTGTTCCCACTGAACCCAGCCTTGAGGTCTCCAGTGAGGCTGCTGATCATTTATTAGGGATTGATTAACTACTTCTGTATACTTATGACTGTTGCCCATGCTTTAAAACTTACTGTCCTCAATGTTAAGCAATTTGGATTAGGAAGACTGAGGAAAGAGTCGGTAACTTCCCTTGTGCAATTCTGTTGTTCTACCGTTATTACTTATATTACCTGGATGGAGGTGGCTGTTTTTTTTCTTCCAGCCACAGCTGTGGAGAACTTTTGACTAAATGAGAAAGGCTAGAGAGTCAAAGTCAAGAAGGAAAAAACCTAAGGCTGCATAAAGTCACAAATGGACAAATTAAGAAATTGGCCAGGGAAGCCAGATGTTCTCCTGCTGTATGTTTTGGTTAAATTGCACTGGACAAAGGGCAGATACAGCAAGTAGGAGTAAATTTATGTCTAAACCTTGTTATTTCCCCCCCCCCCAAACATGTATGTTTCTGTGCATCTCTGTTCAAAGCTTCTCTGATCCCAGGTTTTGCTCACTCCTTTGCAGTTATTCCAGTAGAACCAATAACCCACCCCAGAAATGTATCTGCTTCAAGAGCTGGTGATAGAACACTGACGCAATAATTCAACCACCTTTTGGTAATGCTGCCTGTTTTTCTACATAACATCCTTTTTGCTTCTAATGCATACATGACAGAGGAAATAAGGTCTTTGATCCTTACTGTTTCCCCGCTCTTGGAATATCCACTTTTGTGCCAACCCTGTAAGACTACACACTGTAAGTAATTCATTATTCACACAAAAGGCCAAAAGTATTCTCAAATCTTATTTACTTAGTACTTCTTAAACCCTTTTTTAATCTTGCTTTATAGAAAGAAACTATGACAGCTATATTTGTATTTAGCCCTACATATGTGAAATACCTTTCAGATTAAACAGAGTACTCTAACAATTGTAATTTCCCACAGGATCTTAGTTTCCTCTCTCCAATTTCTTATTAACAGATCAGTTACAGAGGTCCCAACTTAAAAACTATGAGAGTGAGCTATATTTAGATTCCCTGCCCTAAACCCATCAGTTATAATACAAACTATTATTTTATTATTCTCACCAACTACAGAAGTTATTTATCAAAATAATTGTTTAAAGAACTCAAGAAACAGGCAAAGGATGACTACAGAGCACCCTGAGGTCAACACAAGATCTTTCTATCTCGACAGAAGGAAAATGTTGAGGTAAGGTCACACAGACTTTAGAAGGTCTGAAATGGGCCTGGAAATTCCAGGAAAACCAGATCTCTTTTGAAACTTTCAAGTTCCCGCTAAGTTTGGCCATACATGTAACACAGTTATTCAGTCTTCTCTCAGAAAAGTTAATGCTTTTGTCTGGAGCCAAGAATTTCAAAGAATCAAGAAAATTAATAGGAGGTAGTGGGAAGCAATAATAGTTAACAGAGATGTTTGTTTAAAGTTTGAGTTGTGTGTTGAGTTACAGGTTGCGTTAATTTGTTTTTAATGGAAGTATAATTCCAATCAGAAGTCAAACTAATCTTCTACCACAAAGATTGATAATTTCTGTTCCAAAGAAATCAATTTCTGAGATACCAGAAGCGCTGCAGCAGGAACGCAAGGGTTCTCAAACTACCATACTGGAAAATGTTCAAATGACAACTGAGAGGGGCTATTTGGAGACTGCCTTGATCCAGCTGTGGAATCTGCAGAAGTATAAGGAATGAGAGAGACAGATGGGTGAAGAGACACCAGATAAAACCTACAGTCTTGCTTTCTGAGCACTGGGAGAAGTTCTGCAAAGTTCTGTGTAGTCAGCTCTAACACTACCATCCAAAACATGTCATCTAACTGACCTGTTTCCTCAGCAGGCATTTCATTACACCTATCCTCTCCCTTGACGGGCACTACCTTCCCATCTGGTGGTGCCCAATACAGAGAAAATCTAAATTGTTCACATAGACAAGACTCCTAACTCTTACATGGTAAAATTCACCAGACAGGAGTGACACCATCAGAAGCATCTTCTCCATCCTCTTCCTTTTTAGCTGCCTTAAAATACTGTAACAAAAAGCTTAGGCAACTGCTATGATTCATACTGATGGTTTTCCACGCAAATGATTATCATAGTGGTGTGCTGAAGAACAGGAGAAATAGCTGCATGAGCATGTAAAAAGGAAATGTCCAAATGTCATTCTTTCTAGTAAGACGTAATCAACCTTGGGAAATTGGGAATATCGTGCCTTGAGCTAGATGTATACTGAAGGATGTTTTAAATTAATTAACTGGCACAAAAGATCAGCTGGTCCAAAGTGGTGAAGCTTTATTCACTTCAATGCCAGCTGGTTATGTGCAAGGAAATTTGTACTGAAGTTAAGGCAGTGTGATTTCCACACTACAAGAATGCTTTACAAACCTATCATCTTTGTGGGTTTAATGATTCAATACTTTGAGCAACATTAGGAAGGATTTAAACTCTCTCTGGTCACTTCTGAGCCATTCCTGCAAACTCCTCTAGATTAAGTGAAAAAGCTTTGAGATCAATCAGTGCCCACTGACACAAACAGAAAACTTCCACAGTCATAGATCTGTGCAGCCCTTCTTGCAATAACAACATCCTTTCTAAAGCAGGGTATAAGAAAGTCCACACTAACCCCTAACTGACTCTTTGGGACATAGCATATAGTGAGAATAATAGCCTATAGTAAGCTTGCTACTTTTAGTAGCAAGGAAGTACGTCCCGTAACAACGTGCTTCTTGAAAGCTTCCATCTCCTTCAAATAGCATTTGTCAGGGCAACTTCCAGTTACAGAACTCTTCCTACCCTGGCTAATTGCCTTTTAATTACTGATTGTTTCTTACTATGTTTCTAACATTAATTCAGAGGGGATGTCACTTCAAGATATCAAAGACCACTAGATGCTCCTATGAAAAATGGAGAATTGACTTGATACATTTCAATTATGCCCTATAGCGCTGAATATGGGCTGAAAATTGGAGATGGGATGATTCAGTGAAGGGAACACTGCATAATTAGCTTGTAACCTTATACCTGTTTTTTTGACATAGTAGCAGTTTTGTTGCTGAATTTTATTGGAACAGTGCAGAAAAGTTGCTGCGATTTGTGTTCCAGAGGTGGGCTTCTTGCCCTCAGTACTGTTGAAAACTCTCTACAAATGTCAAACCTGGCATTTACTCAAGGGTGTTACTCTCCAGATTTTAATGGACTTTTCCTAAAGCAGCCAGAGGAGAAAGGTGAATGTCCTCTGTTTTTCAGTTTCTGCCAGGCTAATAATATGCTTTTGTACAACCTAAGTGTCTTGGGCTTTCTTTGTTTGTCAGGATGTTTGTTTTAAGATGCAGAAGAACAGAAACAAGCCAGAAAAGAAATTAAAAGCAACAAATAATAAAAACAAAACTCTGCTTTTGTTGTTCTTTGTTTTCCCCACACTGTTAACTTGAAGCCCTCTGGGGCAGGTGAAACAAACAGCTGTCTTGGCTGCAATGCAGTCAGAATCTTCTCCTACAAAGCCAACTGCAAGCATGGGGAGATTGAGAATCTATTAGAAATACCTGGCCTGACGTCACTGTGAATTTAAAGTGATAAAATTAAGGGGCCATTTGGCAGCACTTACAGAACTTTTCACTAACTGACCTCTCTACAGTTGTGAATTTTTATATAAAATGCCACAGGCGATGAACAATCAAAGTAGGAATTGAAAGCATCTTTTCCCCTTCTGTAGTGAACATAATTATCTCTGTGAAAACTGGTGGTAAGCTGCATCCTCAGTAAAGTTTGGCTGTATAGTTAAGGTATGAGGCAATAAACAGGGTGACAGGAATACAGACTCATCCAAATGTGAAGACTCTACTGCAATCATTGGCTGTCTTTACACAAACATATATAGATCTGTTTACATATTCAGTTTGCCTAGAAGTTGCTTTATGTGCCACAGAACCACTTTCATATGGATAGAGACCTCACAAAGAAGTCAGGCTTCATGCAGCAGAATCTTACATTTAATAAAGTGCTATTTTTATACATACCTACAGATGCTGGCATTTCTCCCCACTGTAAAACAGTCTCCTTTGTGAAATGCCCGTATATATCAATGTAGATGCCTTCATCTTCGTAGGTGAGTAAAAGCTCCATTCCGCTGGTATTTGGGAGGATGATAATGGCATGTGGGCGAATAGTCCCCTGGATCTGGAATCATATTTTACTATGATTTGTATCAGAAAATGGACTACAATTTTAGTGACTACATCAATCTGACTACCTCAGCAGAGCAATATGAAGAGCTAGCTCATGGCTCATGGAAAGTGAAAGAAATGCCTGTGTTCAGAAAGGCTGTACAGTTTGCTAGCTAGCCCTGAAACAGGCTTTCTCCCCGCCTCCCCCCTTTGAACATGACAGTAGGCTTGCAAACAAATCAACCTTCAGTATTTCACTTTATATTTACCAGTATGAATTGGTTCAAGAAGCCATGGAACCACTGAGACACAATAATATTTACTTTACTCATTTAGAAGACACTTGTGTTATATAAATAGAAAAAAAGGTGAAGTAAATTTGAATTGACAATTATTTCAGAAGGTGGAGGAAGGACAGAAGCTTCCACATTGCAGGAAACCGGTGCTTTCACTTTCCATGATAATTCCTTACCCCAACTCACAAGCTAAAACTGTAAATGTCACAATATTTACAGTGAGTTGAAAAGTTACCTGGACCTTTCAAATACAAGCCACTCTCTGTCCTTCCCTTCCCATATACTTCACTAAAAACAGTTCCGCATTTAAATGCTGTTCAGCATATGTTTTCTGCATGCCACAAGAACAGTGCATTTCACTCACACAGATTATTTTAACAGCTGTTCAATGCACTAGAATCTCTCCCCGAAGCCAACATGTCCCAGATGAAAAAACCCAGACAGTTCCAAGCATACAACCATGAAGGTGGGGTTTTATGAAAGCATTTTTGAAAGAAAAAGAGGACAGCCTTAAAAAACATTAACAAAGCATTTCCTTGTTTAAAGCACTACTCAAACAGGATGTTAGGTAGTAAATGAAACCGCTACAATTATTTTTATAGGAAGCGTATGACTGGAGTTTTATATCATTCTCACAAGCCAACAACACACAGATCTTCTCTTCAAGCACATACATTAACGCACACTGTGAGGGCACAATGAACAGGAAAAGAAGCACTGAAGCTGTACTTGCCAAACTGAATACACTCAGGCCAACCACTTGACTCCGTGCCTCCGCAACAACTATCCGTAACACTAGAACGGGGATCCAGAGTCGCAGAGCAATTTTAATGCGTTGCCTTGGTACTTGCATGAGCGATCGGAGCAGGTAAGAGATGAAGAAAGAGGTGGGGAACCAGGAAAAGAGGCTACCAGGAAGAGTATCTCAAGTCAGCCTGTTAAAGTCTGGTCTGTTGCCACCACAAAGCTCCTTGAGAGAATTATCCAATTCTAGCAGATGCTCTTTAAAGTAATAAAATACCCAAAAAGACAGAGCCACTGTAGCAGCAGATTTATTTCAGGTCTAAGACTCTAAAGGGAAAAAAATATTTTTAGCACATCCCAACTTTTGGTTGAAGAGCACACACAAATGGAGTCAGCCTTAAATGTGCCCCACATCTTCAGGACAGTCACCTGGGAAATCTCTGATCAGGTTATAATTATATTTGCAGCCTGTTGAAAAACTAAAGCTTCTCAGAAGGTTCACCTTTTTTTTTTTTTGCCTTTATCTTGGGCAATTATGCTAATGATCTTTTTGACAAGTCATTATTCACCTTGCTTAGCAACCAGCTTCCAAGGATGTATGCAGGCACCACGCTTAGATTTATAAACTGATACCAATTTGTCATAGTTGCACAGTTAACAAAGTGACTAATTATCAGATTAAATAAACTGTCCTACAAAACAAATAATTAAGTCCTTTAACTCCCCCCCACAGAGACAAACAGTACAGGCTTGGAGCAGGGGATTCAATGCTTTGTCCTGGCAAACTAGGAAGTCACCTGTTAATCAAGAGAATTTTATAAATTTATAAACCAACTTACATAAAATTTGTATGAATTTATAAATCGCATCATCAAACACCGTGTCCATCAGAAACACCGGGTCTGACATGATCTGAAGGCTGCCACCTGTCAGGGCAGCAGAGTGATCAAGTGCCTTGCATGGGAGGCGTGGGCTCTCATTTGGTTTGAAAACGTGGGGTTGAGAATAGAGAAAAAGCAGCTAAAAAAATAGAAAGGATTCAAGGCACAGGCTGCAACAATGGATCTGGGGTGAGATTTCTTCAGACCTCCTGAGCGTGACTTCGGGCACATTGCCTTGGGATGCAAGGACCATGGCACCAGGATGCACCAACCCTCTGCCCCTGTGGAGCTCTGTTGACTTCAGGGAGGTTTTCAAGTGTGCACATAAGTTCCCTTGCCAGGAGCCTACTGTCAGACTGGAGACTTGGGAACCTGCTCTCTTTCTAGACCTAAGCCCCCAGGTTATCTAGTTTTTGGACTCACTTTGAAAAGAACTACCTAGAATGGCTACAAAATAAGCAGGCAAACAAACAGAAAAAGATTAAAATCACAGCACAGACTTCATACTGGGCAGCCCCATGCCAGTCAGTCATTTCTGCAGGGGAATTAATCTGCTATTGTCCAAGTATAAGCAGGAATTTAGTGGTCACCATCACTTCAGTGAACAGACGCACAATGCAAGATATACACATCAACCTGAAATCAACATCTTCATGCCAACTTCTTGACAAACTTATGATAAAATCCTGTGGAATATATAAAAATTATTCTGAATTTAAGGACTGATTTTGTGGGCAAGTGAACAGCAAGATCAGCAAGTTTAGTCTGAAAGCTGGGTTTCTGCAAAGTTGTCACTGAAGGGCAAATCACATTTTGTGCACGGAGCCTGGATCTGTAATCATGTGAAACAAACCCAACTTTGCTCCATGGTAAAGAAATTGGGATTATTCATGGGTATACATGAGCCATGTATACCTGGCTCCTCTACCCGCCTGTACCTGGTGCAAGGGTAAATATGCTTGCAGTGGATCAAGGTTAAAAATATGTTGCACCAATCTTTGGAATGCAGGCTAAATTTCAACTCAGTTTGGATTCAATGATAATTTCATCAGCTTGTTGGCATGACAGGAAAGCACACTATCAGATTGTAAAAGTCACCTAAATTTATGTAGATATTATTGTGTCTTTGATTGCTTACGTCCTAAATTTCCATGATAAATCAATTAAAAATAGTATTGTCCATACAACAGGCTTTCTGACATTAAACCATTAAAACTGATACCCTAGATGTGATAAAAGCCTTTTAACAGAACTTCAGTGTTATAGAAGTATGTGAAAAGTGGTTTTCTATTAGCTGGCACATGACATTTATTCTCTTACCCTCCCTGTCTTTTGAAATACAGCACAACTCTTAACCTGATCATCATCAATACACAGCCCAAAGAACAGAGGCATTTATGTGACGTTTTGGAGTGTCTTACGTGTGTTGGAAGGTACAGGTCATACACAGATCCGGAGTCCACATCAATAGCATGAAAGCCTACTAGTGAGCCGTATATGACTTTCAATCTTTGTCCATTTTCAACGGTCAGGTCAACTGACAGTGGTTTGTGATGAAGTGAGGTAAAGGACTGGAAAAAGAAAAATACATTGTGTAACACAATAAAGCTGTTGGTTTGCAGATATACATATATGATCTTATGAACTTTCAAAACTCAAAAGTTAGCTATTTTTGTTAAATAGTATGTTAATTTTAAGGAGATAAGTAGCCATTGTCTACTGTGTTGCAGGGAGAGCTGAATAATTCCCTTGGATTTTAAAACCCACCAGATTCTAGAAGTGGACTAAGCAAAACTCAGGCTGAGTACCATTCATGTTCAATTTCCTCCTTTGAGGGAAACTGGCATCAATTTTGTGAACTCAAATGTACGTTTTTGCACAGTGCTGAAACAAGTGGTTCACATCTAACAGAATCATGACTGTGACAGTTTTATGCCTGCCACCTCCTGTACATGTCAAATGAGCTATGCTTTCTTTAAAAGAATACTCATTTTATCTTTAACTAGAAATAACTTACACAAAGCTACAAAAAAACAAAGCAAAGAGTAGATGAGAGACAGTGCTCCATCTGAACCAGAGTGCAATTTCACTTACCTTAAAAGCCATGAATTTGTGGTAAGGCTTTGGAGCCCAAGCATAAACCTCCACTGAGTTTTTCAAAGCAATTACAAGGAATTTGATTCTCTCATATTTTACTGTAATGTAAGAAGAACAATTCCTTAGGTACCAGACAGACACTTGAATCACCTCATCACATTAAATAATTTTAAGGGACTACTTGCTGAGGTAGACATTATCCAGCAAGATAGACTAATGAATTCTGGACATCAGTGTTTAATACCACCAATGACAATACTTTGACTGAAAACCTATAGTTCATTTATTCTTAGTAAAGCCAGATGACTGCTGACAACATTTACATACTGTTTTTCATAAGATTATGACAAAAATCCCAAGTTATTTTACTAGTCAGAAAAAAGGGGTTTGACCCTGCCCCTAAACCAACCTACTTTATTTTAAGTGTGAACACGCACCAACATTGCTGGCTGTGAACAAGCTACTTTTGGAGGAATGGAGGTTGTCCACTGAACAATTCAGTTATGCTCTGCAGGATGAATTTTCATTTCACTGTTTGTGTGGGGGGTGAAATCCCCATGTGCTAGTGTGGGTGAAGGACTCTCATGTTTCGCAGGTGAGTAAGCATTTAAGAGATGAGTAATTTCCCTAAGTTGATTAAGGTCACATTGGCCAATTGAGAATAAATGAAAAATCATGCACTGAAAGTTAAGGCCACTCTGTACAATGTGTTTTCTCCGTCTGCCAGAGACAAGCATTTGCTTTGGAAACAGAACATATTCACCCCTCATTTTATATTCAGTTTGCTTGGCAGGGATTTTTAAAAGATGCAGGTGTTGCATTACTAGATTATTCTAGTTTGGTTTAGTTTTGGTGGGAGGAGCCCTTGCTGCTTACAAAAGGAGCAGTTCCACTTGCCAAACACATAGCAGGGCATGAGAGTGGATAAGCATGGACACTGCTCAGAAAATCTCACATAGACAGAGAAAGAAAAACAAAACTGCACTCCAGCAAAATGCAGAGCAGCACCATCCTCCTGTTCTCTTCTACCTGGACAAATGGGTGTAAAACCAAAAGTCAAGATACAAGAAGCTTCACCAGGAGAAAAACAGCAGCAGCTGTTTTGTCAAAGCAGTAAGAGTGACTGGTGATATGTAAACACAGAAGTTCCTACCAAATGCTTGCCTGATTTTAACATAACTTTTACTTGTTTTTAAAAACCACACCAAACCCAGAGAAAAGCAACTGAACTGGAAGATGCGGGTGCTTAACAATGCATATCTGTTTCTTATTCTTTCTTGGACTTAACTCTTGTCACTTTTAGAGCTGTGAAATAGAAAGGCAGAATGATGTCAAGCAAGTGAGAGCCAGTGACCTTGCTGCCTCCCACACTCCTGTGTATTATTTCTCTACTTAACTTTGGAAAAAGTGCCACCTTCACATACCATCTTTCACCAACAAAATCTTGGTCTGTACATCACATGCCCTCATGCAGTTAAATGACAGGAGCTATCACAATACTGACATTCATTTCCAAGAATGAACAGCCCAAAAGCCAAATAAAAACAAACTGCTTTCTGAATTGCTGTGGTACTATTTCCAGTGTGTAAGTTTAAACAAAGGTATACTTCAGTCTTTTATGACCTAGAAACAGGGGTGAACTGTAGCGCATCCAATCTGATCTACTGATGGACATCCAACAAGTAAGATTTACTAGCATTTTAATAGTCCAGTTTCCTAGCAGATACTCAGGGCCAGAAGGGAAGCTGAATAGCATAGAGGTAGAAAATATCAATCTAATTAAAACCTTAAGTAGATACAGAACTGTTAAACTACTGACTGAGCAATAGACCCAGACTGGCACTCCCTTCTTCCAGCCTTCACAGGGAATACCCATAACTGCTGCAAGAAGAGATGGTACCTGAAATGACAGGAGCAAAGCATCTATCATGTAAAACACGGAGGTCTGAAAGAACTGAGATCTTGAAACAGAGCTGAAGAAAGAAGCACAAAAGAATGGTAAAGCAGTTCTCCAAGGTAAAAACAGAGCCCTTACCGACTTTGTAGTGCACACAGCCCTCCAGGTCACCCACAGACACCCAGCCTTGCCGCTTCTCCACCTCTGGATCATTGCGTAGAATTTTATTTCTCAGCCATGATAAGTAATACACCCTCAGCTTATTCTTCTTCCCTGAAAAAAAAAACCACCTGCTTTAACTCACTGAAATACAAACTCTCCCACACTTACAGAAAGGCAGAGTTTTGTGACCTTGAGTACAGCAGGTCTTTGGGCCTCACCAACATGAGAGAAGTGTGCAGCAGCAGAGAGGGAA